TGAGTCCAATTGTTAAACGCTATACATATACAGGAAATAAGTAGGTATCTGGTTGGCAACTCAGTATCCGGTTTCGGGGCCTACTGTAGAGGTTTGTATGGAAAGACTTGGTCAATTTGCATGATTGAAAGTATATCCGATTCGTCTGCACCTCCTGTGAATACGATTATGCCTCCATCAGACTCTGAAACACAATTCGTTTCGCAAAATGATAACTTTGAGAAATGACGAGGATTCCGCACTTGAAGAATGATTACTTGCGAAACACAATATATATTATCTTGTAAGAGGTGAGGATTTTTTTCTGCATTCATCTTTGCCATACCCTTATAACTCGATAGGACAAACGAAATGGGTGACTCAAAATTGCTGTACAAATTACATTGACAATCACTATTTTTTATCCATTTCACTCATTTCTAATCCAATTTACGTCAAATAAGTACCAATATCACGACCTTGATTGGGCCGATCGTTTCCCACCCTTTTAGCGCACCAGGACTTATGGCGCAAAAAAAAACGAATTTGTCACAGTCAAAATGGATGTGAAGACGATTCAACACATCAAAGCCTTTGTCAAGCTGCGCCTGCGGCGCAACTTGACTGTTGACGAAAAGTTGGATATCCTGTGGCTGCAAGCTACCCATCGTGAGGTCAACTCAGCAAACGTCACTGACGTCATCTCACAGCTTCTCGGCCGTGCACCTAAGACTGTAAGGAGTGTCCACGCCGAGTTTCTGACCGCTGGGACTATTTCGGAGATCCTTCCTCCATCCAACACCACAAACCATCGTTCCCGTGTGCCTGACACCATGCTGTCCGTGGTCTCCTTCAACGACTCATCCGTGACCGCTGGGTGACCCGTACCCGCACCGTTGCAAAGGACGTCTTGTCCTATCTCGTTGAGAACAGTGTTAGAACAGTGTTATGTGTGTCGTCAACGACAATGTGAAGGACTATACCGCATGTCTTCGCGCTGTCCAAGCCCTCCTAGCCAAGCAAGGCTACGCCCGTGGCAAGCGGTCGGGCGTGACGGAGTACCGAATGACAAAAGCACACGAAGCGCACGAGACGCGTACGTGCAATTGATAGTGCCTACCGTGACGATTGCACCCCGTCGACCTGTTGTGTACCTTGATGAGAGCTTCATCCACCTCCACTGCGCTCGGCGTGTCGATAGTTTGCATGACCCTACCGATGAAACCATGACGAAGCCCAAGCACAAAGGGCGATGATACTGCTTCATTGCCGGTATCCTTGATGACGGCTCCGGTGTCTCCTACCTGCTCGGTCTGGACGTCTTCGTTGGTGGTAAGAAGAATGGCAAGACGGTGAAAGACTACCATTCAATGTTCAACTATTATTACTCTGTTGATTGGTTCGACAAGCTGCTTGACGAAGTTGAAGAACTGGGGTGGGGGTTGGCGGTATTCGTCATGGATAATGCCAAATATCACAAGGGCAAGCCGAAGTCCACGCCTAAGGGAACATGGAAGAAGAGCGCGCTCTACGAAGCTTGTGTACAGTACCAGCTCCAGGATGTTTCGCCAATTGACATAAAGTCGACGATCTGGACGACGTTGAAGAAGCACCTGGATGAGCATGTCCCTCCTGTCGTGGTGTCCATGGCGCGATCGCGCGGCCATCATGTCGTCTACGCAGCACCTGGGTTTTCCGACCTACAGCCAATCGAAATGGTGTGGGCCAACGTGAAGGGTACAGTTGGTCGTGCGTATACCTCGAATACGACCTTTCCAGATGTCTATGACCGGCTGGAGCGCGCTTTTCACGAGTTGGACTCGGCGTCATATGCAATACTATCAAATCATCGACGGAAAAGCTCCTTGCTCTGCACCAGGTGCTCCGTGCTGTTGAAGAAGTGGAGCCTATTTGCTATGACCAAGCAAGCAACAGCGAGACATCTCTCAACGACGACTCGTCTTCATCTAGCGAGAGTAGTGGTTGTGAAAACGAAGGCTAAATTTTGTCGAAATTGATTTCTCTAAAATGTAATACAATTTGATTTTGTATTTCTACAGGTTCTGTCAGATTGAGCATTATTACAATCCCTCTGCAATGTGATAATTGATTTTCAAAAGTTATCCTGATTCCCTCGATGGTCTCGTGGACTGTAAATGGAGACGGAAAAACACCAGTAACACGAGACCCCTCACAATATTATGAATTGTTCCGAATTTCCATACAGATAGAAAGTTTTTTTAATAAAACGATTCGTTATACTGTATATTATATTGCCACTT